GCAGGTTTGCTTGACACTCTTGCTCTTCTCCTTGTAGAAGCGGTGCTCAAGAAGGACCCTAATGTTGGGCTCATCCTCATTGGGGTCCTACAGACAGAGAGCCAGGAAAGGGCCACCAGTGAGCTGGTTTCAACTCCTTTCCTTTATTCTAGCCCCTCTACTTATTTCCTCCAGGCACTGCTTATAGGAGTCTGAGTTACCATTAGCCATAGAAAGACGGTCAGTCAGAGGCAGATCACAGACCACCCACTCCATTTCCTGGCAGCCCTGTCAGCCACTTGCCACCTGGGTCTGCCCTGTGAGCAGGAATGATCTACTCTCCCTTTGCTGGCTGGGTGCAGACCAAAGCGACGTGGTATGGAGCCCTTTGGGACTCTCCCAGGGAATGGCAGAGCCATGAAAAAGGATGACTCGGGTCTTCAACACCATTACCTGTCACACAGGCCCTGGACCACCTGGGGGGTTTTCATGAGGAAAACCACACACCAATCTCCTTTAAATCACTGAGTTTTTGGATTGTATGTGGCCACAGCCTTACTGATTTCCCAGGGTCTTCTGATGTGGAGTCTTCATTAGGAAATCAGTGAGGCTGTGGCCACATACACATTGTGGGTCACTGCAGGGCATACAATGACAGCCAAGCCGAGGAACACAATTGGCCTGCAGTGGACACCTAGGGATTTTGGACTCTAGGATTCATTACCTCCTTCTGTTCTCCTGTAGGGAAACTCCTCATCATCATCTAGAGAGGAGGATGTGGCTCAAAGAGGTACTGCCCCACTCACTTGCTTCAGTGGGGCACCTGACCAGAGCTGGCACACTGCGGTGCTTGTTTCAGGCATGGCCATGTGGCAGAGGTCAGGAGGTCAGAGGTCAGGAGGGCCCAGGACTGACTTCTGCCCTAACCACTGACAAAGGGGAGCTTCAGACTGGGGCTGTCTCAGTTGTCGAGCACTTGCCTAATTGGCAGGAGGCCCCAGTTCCATCCCAGAACCACCAAAAAAAAAAATAAAGAAAAAGGAAAGGAAGCTCTCCTCTGCTGCAAAGCCCAGCTGCCGTTGCTGGGCGCATGTCTACATCACCTGTCTGCGGACTACTGAGGAGGGGTCAAACATGGAAAGCAGAACAAAGAAGGGCAGGATTCCTGAGAATCTGTTGGTTAACAAGAAGATACTTTCCTTCTTGTTTAAGCTACTTAAGGTCAGGTTTCTGTTCCTTGCAACCAAGAGGGGAAAAGCCTGAACTTGGGATAAGGGCCCATCCCTCACTCTGCATTTCTAGATGCCTTTATATCTCAGCCTCTCAGAGCCCAAAAAGATGCACCAGGGAGGAACTGGAGGCCACCCTGGTGCTCCTGTCTCCACTGCTACAGCCCTGGCTCTAGGCTCCCCCTGTGGCACAGCCGGCCAGCACCCACCTTCAGCTCCTGGAGCTTCAGCCGCAGGTGGATGAGCCTCACCACTGCATCCTTCTGCTTCTCCAACTGCTCAGGCAGCTCCAGGATCACCTGCTTGCATTCCTCAATTGCCTGCTGTAGTTGCTGAACATCGGAGGCCAGGAACAGACCCTGCCAGGTTGAGGAGCAGTCAGATGGCCACTCCTTGGACTCTCCCTTGGAGGCCAGACTAGTCCTCATGGACAGTTAGGCACAGAGCAGACCTCAAGCCCTTCCCCCAGATGAGGACTTGTTCAAAGCCCAGGAGAATTAGCAGCACAGTCAGAATCCATCCTGCACTGCCTGTCCCCAACTGGACTAGTCTACCCACAGACTTCTGAAGACCTAGTAATTCAGGATGCTTTCCAAAATACAACTTCCAAGGGCTGGGATGGATGCTCAGTGGTACAGGGCTTGTTTGACATGCTGGAAGCTGATGTAGTCCCCAGCCCAACCCCCACTCCTCCACACACAAGCACACTAACTTCCTTTTTTTTTTTCAGAAAATTGACTAGGGTTTTTTGTTTTGTTTTGTTTTGTTTTGTTGACTCTACTATTTCACTTACTATTTATTTGTTTGTTTGTACTGTGGGTTGAATCCAGGGGCACTTAACCACTGACCTACATCCCCAGTGCTGATTTGTTGATGTTGGTGGTGGTGGTATTTTTTTTTTTGAGACAGGGTCCCACTAAGTTGCTGAGAAAATCAGCCTTAAACTTGCAATTCTCCTGCCTCAGCCTCCCAAGTCACTGGGATTACAAGTACGCACCACTGTGGCTGACTGTTACACTGACTTCAAAAGAACTTCCCCTTTGAGGCAAGCTGCGGAAAAGATACTTGCTGTCATAAAGGAGAGGAAATGGCCACTTGGCTCAATTGCCAATCCCAGACAAAGGCCAATAAAGGAGCCTGGAGGTGTCCACTACCACCAGACTAGCAGGGATTTGCTAAGCCCCAGACTCAGAACAGACCAAGGGAGGCAGCTCCTGGAGCTGAGCAGGTTGGGCTGACACTCAGGAGCCTTCCTCATCCACCGGTGTGCTGGGCTCTAAGAGACCCAGGCAAAGAGAAGATGCACCCTTCCCTTCTCCTCGGAAAGTCTGTGGCCAAAAGGAAGTATTCAAAATGTTACGATAAAGATAAAAACATGTATCTGCATGGGCAACGTTTTAAGGCCACATACAAAATGAAAAATGAATTAGAATC